GTGCATGCAATATAGTTTCGTGTCGCTGTAGCTCTATATGAAAGTGAAGCATGATATGATTCTCAATTGAATGAGATTTTGGTATATAATTGATATTTGTAAGTATTTAATTTTACAATTAGAATTTTCTGATATAAATCAATGTGAAACTTATTCAGTTGAATTATAATCACAAAATTGCGATGCAGTTTCACAACTTGTAAATTATACAAGTGGAGAACCTAGCAGTTCAGTGTCACTGCGCCACAAAATTAATTTTCTTCCTATCTCAGGTTTCAGTGTGAACTTCAGGTCACTCCTTCCTTCGAGCCTTCTGCCGCAGAAATAATAGAAATAATAAGAGGACGCAGAAATTTTGCATCCTCTTATTACGGCCTCACTGAAGTCCGTTTTGAATTCCTCATTTCGTTTTCGGACGAAGTAGCGTCCGGTGACCAGATAGTGTTGCTAGCTCTTCGGAAGTTCAGCTTCAGTGAGCTAGGTGAATTCACATTCATGTTTATTCGATCGGCAGTAGGAGAAATGTACGAATTGTGCGTTCATATCACATGAAGGGACATCACCATCGACAGGTCTGGTTTTCTCCGTTGAGATGATTTCGTGGAGGTGGTGGTGGTGGTGGTGGTAGTTTTATTGTCCGACGCCAGAGGCTTAGTCAGACAGTGAGGAACACCGGAATATCAAAGGAGCCATCGTCTTGTTGTTATTTCAATAAATTGTATAGGCAGGACAGTCTATGTAGGTTGACGCTATACTGTCCCATTGTGCCATAGGGGTTAACCCACACGGGGTAGTTCCTCCTGGGGCAGTTCAAGGCTCGGTGAGCCGGGGTATCCTCCCCGTCGCCGCATAGATGGCAAAGGGGGGAGTCGGCGCGACCAATCCGATACATATATTCCGCGTAGTTGCGGGAGTGCCCGACAACCAGGCGCGGAAGGTCCCACAGCGACCGGGCAGCGTCCCGAAAGGTCCGTCGTTGGTGGTCTGAAAGTAGCAGGTTCTGCAGATGGGGCCGAAGGAGTGAAACCGAGAAGCAATTCTCCAGAGTGGAGAGCCTAGCCTGTAAGGCCGAGGTGTGGGCCATTCCTACAGGAGTGTTCAGCATGTTGGTGGAGGAGCGGCCTTCATGGGCCGCTGCGTCAGCATCGTTGTTGAAGGTGATGTCCTCCGTGTGGCTGGGGATCCAGCAAACTCTGGTGTTGTAGAGGTTCGTCAGGCCGTCCCTGATGTCATTCAGTCGGGGGTTCAGCGTGCCGTTGCGTAGGGAGGCTATCACCGATTTGGAGTCAACGAAGATGCAGCAGTGGGTGCCGAGAGGGTAGGTTGTTCTCAGGTGGGCCACGGCGTATCTAAGGGCTTCTTGCTCCGCCTGGAAGATGCTAGAGTGATTCGGCAGGCGCATGCATGCACGATGCACCACCACGGAGTCCTTGGTGACGATGAAACCCGCTCCAACTGTTTTCGTGGAGGCGACCGTGACCAGAGAACCGTCCGTGTAGACGTCGATGCCAGAGCCCGATAGCTCCCGCCAAGAGGCGATAGCCGCCGGTCGGTCTTTCCCAATGATTAGTCTGTTTTCCAAGTCGCAGTGGATGGGAGGGCCCTTTGTGTACCAGTCAGTGGCTCCCAGGTCGGGTAGGCGGGTGTCCAACAAGGTCCGCCACTTCGACAGTAATGAAGGGCTCCAGCTAAAGTGGAGGGTTCCGCTTTATTTGCTTCATTAAGAATCGACAGGCTCTCACGCGAGTGTTTCAGTCGATAGTGACATTTCGCATTGTTATTAACAACCCGAATACCACACGTCACGTGTTTTATTATTGTTATGATTTGGGGTTGACCTATAATCAATGTGGGAAAATATGGACATGGTCAAATATGTGTTGGCGAAAATCTGACAATTCTGAGGAAATTTTCGAAAATTCTCGTTCTAACTCTATTAGTTCTATACAAACTCCAATTATTAGTGAGGAATCTCTTGAGCTCAACTGAGAAAAGCGAACATATATTCCTACTTCAACACTGCCTATCTCTATAATAGGGAATTTCAGTAGGTTTCATCACTATTGCTTTGGTGTCCTTCAACCTCTGTGATTTTTGCTGGATCAAAGAACTGAAAATATACAAGGCACGAGCAGACTAGAAGGGTATCTTTTCTCGAAGAGCTAATCTGTTGGGATTGGATCTGAGCAACTCAACGAAAGCCGTTAACGGATAATTGTTAGTTTATGATCAATTCAGTAACCATAATGCATACACTAGACTACCGAAGAATGGTAGAATCGCAATAATTATGAAGTCACGAATTCGAATCGTGTACTTGAAGGTACGGTAGAAGCAGGAACACTATCTCGTTTGAATTGGTCTAGTTATGGCATGTCCATCTTGAATGGGATTAAGGCGTTGATAAACGCCTACTATCATTACACGTTGTGATAAACAGACCTCTCATGCGCCGTAAACTTGATCCTGAAAGGTCTGAGGAGAAGTAGTCTATTGAATCCCTCGACAATTATTTTGACTTGCAAACCCTCTTCTGGTTGGGAATGTTGCTATTGGTATCAACTCCCTTTCATAGGGCATCGTACGGCACTAGGAGTGATAGATTTAGACGAGTTGAGGCAGTGATGGTATTCGAAATGATACCGCAAGCCTACGAGCTTTGGTTCAGACCGGTATGGTTCACTGACACCATCCAACGGGCTCAGCTCGGAAATAATGGAGTTTCAACCGGTCCACGTGGAGTGGCGTAATGCCCCATGTGAAGAACCGTTCTTCGAGAACGCGATATGGAGTGAATTGGAAACACTTCACGAATCACACCGGACAAATTACCCAATATCACGCGAGACACATCACGGGTTCTACACGTTATACATACTGGGTATCTAGCATCTCTTGCTGATCACCTATGGTCACTGACCATTAATCAGCAACTGAGCTTAGTGTAGTTCTAGCATAACTCATCATTCGAGCAAGGTAGGATTAGGGATATTGACGTTGCGGACACGTATGCCGCATCGTATGCTATCAGTGATAGCCTATCACCCCAGTCAATTGTAAGTTACGAATTGTAGTGTTCACATCATCGGGACTAATATTGTGGGTCCAAACGTAAAAGTACCCGTGCTCATCATTGGTGCACGCAAGTACACTGAACAAGATTGTATCGCACAAGAAGGGCCCTTGACTTGATGAAAGTTGATAGGCTTCCTATGAGGAGTATTGATCTCCGTGTGAGTGGAGACTGCGTATCGCAGGTCTGGGGTGACCCCAGATGCGACCCTCCGTTGCGTTAGAGACGGCCAGTGCGGCTATGCTGAAACTCCACCCTTGTAGTCGTCCCTTCTCAGTTCTGACTCCGGAACGCCAGAAAAAAAAGGATAAGTACGGATGGGCGCGAATGTGGAACGCTAGCTATATTGACCAATCTATCAACTCTGTCAGACTGTCTAGTAG